TATATATATATATATATATATATATATATATATATATATATATATATATATATATTTATATATTTATATATTTAATAAATAATAAATTTGGAAATAAATAATTAATAAATTTAATAAATTTATATATATATATATATATATATATATATATAAATTTGCGTTTTTTTAATTTAAAAAAAAAAGAATTATTTAAAAAAAAAAACATATATTTATTACAATCACCAATTACAAACACAAATGCCTGCTATGTATTGAACATAGCCTAATATTGATTAATAATATTTAAAAATAATTTCTGACACTTGGGCGGGTACCTAAGACCCCCGACCCAACCTTTTGTAAGTGGTAAGAACACGAAGAGACCGACAAAAGCCTCACGGCTGTGTTTAAACAGGATCCAAATTACCATTAACACCTTCCAGAAATACCATTCACACATTCCACCAGAAATACGTAAAATATACCAGGTTAGTGGAATACCTTGGCCTGGGGGAGAGGGCGTGGTCATCCCTTAGGCTAGGAATATTCAGCCAATCAGGAAAGACTATCAAAATAGAGGGGGGGGGGTGAAGAAAGGTGGGAAATATAGGACTAGGACTAAGACACTTCTTTTTGGGATTCAGCTGAGGAGACTTCAAGCTGGGAAGGAAGCGAGGACAGCTGGATGAGGAGAGGCTGATAGAGAAGAAGTCTTATGGCTTATGGCCGGTCACCACTTCTCGGCATAGAGGAGAGACCTGGTGGGCGGGGTAGCCGAATGGGCTAAAGCGTGTGCACTGCACCGCCGTTGCCTGGCAACCTGACATATGAATACAAAGATATAAAAATAGTCACGAGTTCGCGTCCCGGTGCCGAGGGAGTCTTTTAAATCCCCGCCCACACTCCCTGGCCCGGGAAAATCCCGTATAGCCTTAACGGCGAGGAAGGGAAGGACCCAAAAAAAAAAAAAAAAAAAAAAAAAAAAAGAGGAGAGACCTGATATGGAGAGTCAGCTTGGAATCTAATGTTTTCTTCTGGCTGGAAGACTGTTTTCTCCTGAACCCGTACCGGAACAATGATCTCAACTTCGCACTTCGCATAACATTATAGATAAGTAATTCCCAACAATTCCTTTTAAAGATGTGTAAATATTTAATGGCAATATAAATTTTAAACTCTATCCATCTGAATCATGCCTTCACAACCAATTGTTTAGTTCAGTAGTTTTTGTAAATATAATGTATATAACAGTATTTATTATATAATTTGTAAATAAACATAATTTGTACATAAAAGCTTCGATCTTCGGGCTCAGGACCGGGGAGGGCAGACGCTTAGCGATCCAGTAGCTTAATATATGTGCTAGTGGACGGTGCTGAGGCTGTCGGTGTGTCCCTGGCCTGATCGAAGCTCTATTTTGTAAAAGTAGGTTAATCATTTTTAAATAATTGTTATTAAAGTCATATGGAAGTAATATTGTGTACCGATTGAACTATTTGTATTTCTAGCTTTGAAGAGGATCCCATGGTTGACTAATAAAAAGAAAATACCGGGATCGAAACGTCAATAAACAGAAGAAATGAACATTCAATAGTTTATTAAATAATAATTAAGTGACCTTATTCCCAATTAAATAGTTAATTTTATATATATATATATATATATATATATATATATATATATATAATTTAAAAGCTGAGAAATTAAAAAAAAAAAATTTAACATACAAAGTCGTAGAATGTAGTGGAGAGTAACGAAAAGAGAGAGAAATGCTTTAATCAAAGTAATGTTGCCCTACTACGTAGGGTTGCATTATACACAACATACTTTTCAATCCATATATCCATAACTATTACATTACATTTTTCTATTATTATGTACAATATATACATATATATTTTCTTTTAACAAATTTCAAATGTCAGAAATTCAACACTAAATCGCACACACATAAAAAAGTGATATAGATAAAACGCTAAGACGATGATAAAAACATTGAAAATTGAATAAATAAATAACTATTAAAAGAAATCCACAATTAGTTCTCCACATCAACAACTTGTTACGCAAGGAAGCTCCTTGTTCTTTTTTGGAATCGTTCCGCAAGACCCAAACCAAGGGCCACTCACGGTGAACTCTCTCCGAAGGTCTGGTCTCGTGGAATTACTCTTTAAGGAAAGGGGTACATTTGTCAAACATGTTCTTCTTTTTCCTTTCCGCTGGATCGAGGTAACTCTCAAAGCGGACAGTTGGTTCCAAGATCAGCGCTGTTCCTCCTTCACTGTCGATGCAATATACCTTGTCAAAGCAGGTGAATTCCATTTCTCTAAGGATCCTCATCACCTTGAACTTGACCCTTTGGTGCCGGCGTGTTATGAGGAGGAAGTTTTTGGAGCATTTTCCCAGAACATGGGCTATTGTTTCATACTCACCGCCGCATTGCCGCTCGGGAAGCGAACTCATCACGATCACGATATCAGGTTGCCGGGCAACGGCAGTGCAGTTCACACGCGTTAGCTTATTCGGCCACCTCACCCACAATCACAACTACTGGCGTACTTCTCTATCAAAATTTCCCAATTTTCTCGACTTCTTTGTCATATGCTCCTTACCACTTCCACAATCCAACATCTCTCATTTTGTTTCATCATCTAATCATAGCCCAATTTTATTAGAACTGTCTAAATACCCTTTCGCAAAATCTAAACCCCCGACACTAATTAATGGCTTCATAAACTAGGACGACTTACACGAACAACAAAATTATAATAAATACTTCCATTACTACAGCCGAAGAACTTGATAATACACTCAACGGCTTTACAGAATGCAAACACAACAAAACTGGTACTTATGAGCCTCAGCCTATACGCAATCATATAAAAGAAAAGCGCAGAACTAGAGCTCTGTGGCTAAGAACTAGATACCTCTAACCTATAACCTAGATAAGAGACTATCACTCAAAACAGTTCTTAACAGAGTAACCTGAAAACTTCAACAAGCACTCTCTACATTCGAAAATAACAGATAGAAGAACTACCTAAATTCAATGAACAATAGAAACGGATCAATATAGACAGCAACAATACGTATACTGAAGACAAAAGATGTTCAATATCCTCTCCGACGTACAGACAATACCTGGACAATAACAGGCCAAGAAAAAACTAACCAATACGCAAAACATCTTATTCAGATTTTTGGTACGAACAATATTCAGGACAACACGCACAATACCAAGAGTGAAAACGATTTGACAACTTTAATACCCTTATCACCATCTCCGCCAGCTTTTCACCCAAAAGAAATGTACAAGAAACTGAACAGACTTTCAAACAAAAAAGCTCCTGGCTATGATCTTATCACTATTTTCATTCTTCACTACGTACCCCAAAAAGCCAATATCTTTCTTACTCACATAAATAATTCTATCTTACGTACAACATATTTCCCTCTCCTTTAAAAACTACAATAAAAATTATACCTAAGCCATCTAAACCTACCAGTAACCATTCTTCTTATCGTCCAATTGCGCTCTTACCTATAATGAAAAAAATATTTGAGAAATTATTTCTTCTTAGAATAAAGCCAACCCTATAAAATCGGAAAAATACAACTATCAATTTGGCTTTCGTTCTTCGAAAAAAAAATCTGCTCAGCGATATTCCTGGATATCGAGAAACCGTGTGATAGCGTCTGGCACAAAGGTTTACTGTTGAAAATAAAACCATATCTTTCTTTAACTTACTTTCTGATACTTCAATCTTTCTTTCTTGACAGGTACTTCTGTAATACTATTGATTTCTCTACTTTTTTTGTGTGTGTCCTTCCCTTCCTCACCGTTAAGGCTATACGAGATTTTCCCGTGTCAGGGGGTGTGAGCGGAGATTTAAAGACTCTCCCGGTACCGGGACGCGAACTCGTGATTATTTTCATATTATAGAGTCATATATCAGGTCGCCGGGCAACGGCGGTGCAGTGCACACGCGTTAGCCCATTCGACCACCCCGCCCACAATGATTCCTCTACTTCTCCCTTCTTTCCTCAACTTGCAGGCGTACCAAAAGATAGTGTTTTGGTCCCTCTTCTATTTTCTTTCTAAACATCTGATATATCTCAGCACCCTAGCACCATTCTCTATAGCTTTGCTGACTATATGCCAATTCTTTCTTCTCACAAAATCCCACTATCGCTTCAATAGCCCTTCAAAATTAACTCCACGACCTTGAAAAATAGTTTCACAAATCGAGAATTAAAATCAATACCAGCAAGTCAACCTATGTCAACCATGAGGAAGATCTCGTGTTCTGCTGTGACAATAGACAATAAACCAGTTCCCTCAAAAACTCATGTACGGTATCTCAGACTAAACTTGGACCAAAAACTCACCTGGAATATTCACGCTTAATCAAAAAAACAAGAACTGACCAGACGATACAAACAACTGTCATATATTTAGACCTTCACTCAACAAGCGATTGATCTACACTACCGTACTAAGACCTATTTGGCCCCATGGAGCAGAACTTTGGGGTTCCGCAAAACACACACATAAACAAAATTCAAAACACACAATCCAAAATACTTTGAAAAATCGTCAATGCTCCTTGATTTATTTCAAATCACACAATACACACAGACATGAACATGGCAAAAGTAAAATCCAACATACACAACATTTCATTCTTCAAATCTCAATCATCCAAACCCATTCGTTCTATCTCTATCTTCCCCCTGTTACCTGGTGAGCCTCAACGACAACTAAAAAGGCAGTGACCAAGAGATATTCCGCTTAAAAGTTAAGCAAGTATTATGAATACAAGAAGATAGAATAAACTCCAACACATTTGCTTGATGCGTTACAACACAGTGGCAAATTAATGAAAAAATAAATAAATAATGATCATAATATGACGCTATTGAAACAGCAGCGAAGAACTAAAAATAAATCTTTAAATATTCCTCTTTGTCCCTGCTATTTGATCCATATATTATATTGATAATATCACGTGTTTTTAATTGTTCAATATATATTAGACAGCAAAAATCACATGCTGAAATAATTCAGTTAAAATTTATTTTTCAATGATTACCTCAATAAGCAAAAAAGTGATAATGTGAAAGCAGACACAAGCAAGATGGTAAAATCAATACACGATTTATCAGAGGAAGAAATAGGTAATCTATCGAAAGAAATTAAAGAATTGTTAAAAGGGTTTAAACAAAAACAAAAGAATAAACAAAAAAACGAGGAATGTTTAAATTGGGATGATTTTGAACTATCATCATGGCTTACATCAGCTACAGAAGAATCTAAAGAAACGAACGAAAACTTGATAGAAATGTCCAAAAACTTTTCTCGAAAAAAATCAAAAGAGGTAATCAAAGAACAGCTAAATCCGAAACTCGAAAATAATTCATTAAGTACTGAATCATTAGAAAATTCGGAAACATATAATATCGAAGACTTAATTAAAACTGACGAAACACTTAAAGAATTGAAAAAATTAACTTCTATTTTAGAGGAGGATATAAATGAATCTGTTTCAAATGAAAATGAGTCGTCTGGGTCAAGTGCTAGTCGAAAGAAACTGATTGTCAATAAACAATCTGAAAAGTCTAAGAATTTGAGTATTGCCCCAATCAGAATTAAAGAGTCTTCTCCATTAGAATCCGATGGCATCAAATCAGTTGAGAAGGATTCGAAATTAAAAATTACAAATGCACATACAAAAACCGATAAAAATATTCTAAACACGAAATTAGAAGATTTAAAACTTGATAGCAAAGCAAAAAAGATGAACTCAGGAAGCCCAGTTTCAAAGCAACAAGCCGAAAACAATTCAAAAACCAGTGCATCCGATTTCAGACCCAGAAAAATGTCGAACAGCAGCATCAAAAACAAAAAGAAATATTCAACCAAAGAAAGTATCAAACTGAGTACCGAATCGCTGATAAAAAAAATACCGTACCTCGAAGGTTTCCCAGAATACGAAAAAGGACACCATGTACCAATAATTTCGAAACATCCCGAGAATGAGCTTAGAACAAGAGCATCATCGGCTGAACCATATGCAAGGTCATTTTCGACAGTGACGAACAAGCCTGAGGAAGTTGTACCTAGACAAGCGAAAAAGCATGTGACATTACTAATAAAGAAAGATAAAAATGATGAATTTGCTCCAATATTCCCGCTGAAGATAGATTGCATATCTATGTTTTCCGATGATGAAGAAATAATAACGGACGAAGGGAGTGAGGAAGAAGAGTCCGACTCCGAGAGCGACTCTGGTCCAGGAGAACCGGACGTCATGCTCAACGAACTGTGGAAAGATTTACTCCTTCCTTCGGACGAGAGTGATATGGATTTGGATGAATTTTACAAGCAATTTCCAAAGTTAAAGAAGAAAAATCAGCAAAAAGAATGTTCGAGAGAATATGCAGAAGTACATTTTAAATCATTAGCGTGAAGTTGTGTACCTACAACTATATCAGCTGTTTTTAAATTACCACAACGTTCTCAAATTAGTTGAACAATAATGACAGTAGTATACTCACAATAAATTACAACAATTTTAAAGAGAAAAGCAACAACTTTAATCTGATCAAATTTAATAAGATTTTGGCAATATTGTATTAAATAATACCACTTCTGGAGCCTATATGTAAAAATATAATATTGCATCAATATTTCACATATCAGAGGCACGGACCTGAATACTGACAAATAATCAGGAACAGTCCTCCGAGTAATTGAAAAAATAAAATAATCCGAAATTAAACCGAGTATTCAAAACTGAAAAACTATATATCTAAACAGATATTTTCATTAATATAGAAGTTATAGTTATTATTGTATATATAATGATGCTATTGCAGGGTTTTCGTATGATGTAAGGAGTGTAGTATCATCAGGAAATTTTACTAGTAAAGTCTTGTCATGATAAATATGATGTGAACATATTGAATTGTTATGGAAATGTATTTATTACACAAAACCATCTTGATGTTACTTTTAATCGGGCTATCGATTGGAAGGTAAAAATGAACGAATCTACGTGTGTATCCATTATCGTTGTGCTAAACCATAGAACATACTGGGAAACCTAATAACATACCACGGATATGCTATAATACAGGTATTCGTATATCCGAAGAAGTGTGTTATTCGGAATTACGCCTGGACGAGAGACTTATATAAAACTTACCCAAAACTGAACAGAAAACGATTGAAAAAACGTTATAGATTATTATCCTGGTTATTTGACAGACGATTCGAATTATTCTTAACTAACAAACTTACCATCTACAAATAATTTATAAAACCTTCATGGACTCACACGGAGGGAGACGCGCAAAAACAAGATAAAAAATTCGAACTTTTCAATCAAAGGCATTGAGAAAAACGACAGAAACACCATTCAATGCTACAAACCACTTACAACACAAAGACTTGAAAATCCATACGATTTCAAAAACAGCAACACAATACTACAAAAACTTTCACCAGAGACTGAATTACAACATAAATCCCTTAGCCCTATAAAGGAATGAACTAAACAAACACTTATATGAAATAAAGTAAATATAAGAACACTTAGGAATAAATTTTGTTTTCTTTATTATTTGAATATTAATACATTCTGCCATATTGAAGGCCATTAATATTAAGGCTACATTAATCATTCACACAATATGTACATACAAATAATAACTATGATAGTGATAATAAAGAATAATAAAATAAGTAAATTAATATGCCTGTGTAAAAAAAAGAAAGAAATTTATAAATAGAAGCTAAATGAAATTAAAGTAAATAAAACACATTCATACCTATATACAACATTTACATTCGTCCAGGAGAACTCTAAGTCATAATTTGTTTCCTAAATGTAGAAGCTAAGGCAGGACGCAAGGAGATCCCAGTGCTTCTCTCCCAGCAGCGTCGCTGGTATTGGAAACCAGTGGGAAATGATGGAGGGCAGTAACAGACACTCAGGACATGAGTGGAGAACATGACCATTGAAAGAACTCCAATATATACAAATGCCCCCTAGAGTTCTATTCCGTAGGTTCAGATAGGTTTCAGGATTGTCTTGCAGATGAGTAGTTTGTTGTTGACTAAAAGTTGACTAAATATTTTCTATTCAATAGTCTATATAGCTGTCCATATCGTCAGTTAAGTAGTGTTTTAAGACTGGTATGTGGGTTCCATATCAGTCTTTTATCTAGGAGCAAGCCAAGATAACGGACTGTGTCGGAGAGAGGAACTGGTATGGAGTTGAAGTAGACTAATGGACAGAAATTACGTCGAAGGGTAAAAGTGATATGTTCTGATTTGGATTCATTTACTTGGATTCGCCACTTATTACACCAGTGTTCGATAAGAGAGAGGCGACTTTGTAGGTTTAAGGATGCTGTTTCAGGGTCTGAAATGAATGATAGGATGGCTGTATCATCAGTGAATGCCCAGGAGGGTTTCAGGATGAGTAGAAGTATCAGCGGTAAACAGAATGTAGAGGACGGGACCTAAGACGCTACCTTGAAGAACTCCTGCCGCAATTGAATGATTCTGTACCACAGCGAACTTAAAAGGAGCGCTTCAGAGAGGTAGGATTGGAGAATTAGATATACGGACTGCGATAGATGGGATTAAAGTTTGAAGAGCAGTCCGGCTTACGCGATGTCTAGGAATGCTCCCGAGCAATACTCTTTGATTTCTAGGGTTGAGCATATATGGTCAACAACTCGGAGTCTTTGTTGGAAAGCGGAATGTAGGAAACGAAATTCGAATGGATAGGTAGGGAGTTTTGGGATTCTATCATGGGTAGTATTCTTTTCAATAGAATTTTGTCAAAGATTTTTGAATGGATGGGGAGTAGGCTAATTGGACTGTAGGATGATATAGTACTGGAAGATTTGACTGGTTTCAGGAAAAGGAAGATGGTAGAATGTTTCCATAAGAGAGGAAAATGGGTAGTTCTTAGGGTGCAATTCATTTTTTTTCGGTTGGCTATGCAGACCTTGTAGATTTTTGGCCGCCTGAACCAGCCTTCTCCACCTCTGCATACCTTGGGACCTGCTTTCCAGTTTGCTGCATGAAGCTCAGCCGATCATTGTTAATCTTATCTAGGCATCTGGTTTTTGGCCTAACACGTGGTCTCTTGCCTACTACTCTGGAATTCATTGTCGTGTAGAGGCGTCCTGATGGATTACTACGAGCTACATGCCCTACCCATTTTAACCTCCTTGCCTTCATATTATGAGATAGTGACTGACACGTTTCTTTTAGCAGTTCTTTATTGTTCCTTCTCCTCCATGTGTCAAGGTTCTGGTTCCATATAGGTCCTGTTATCCTACGTAGAAGTTCTCTTTCGAATCTCTCTTTCTGGCTTCTAGTGTGCCGGTTAGAGCCCAGGTTTCACAACCGTACAGCAGAACTGGCTTAAAAACGGCGGTTTTATTAAGGCGGACCCTTATTTTGAGATTTCTGGAGATTTTCTGGATTTCATTACCTTTGAAAGAGAGAGAAAAGATCTGTTCCCACTATCTCGGTGGTCTATCTCTGTTAGTTAATCATTTATTGAGGTTATTGTGGAGCCGAGGTATTTGAATCTGAATCTGTCTACTTTCGGGAATGGCTTAGATTCCACGCAGATCATGTTATTAGGGTGGATGTTTTGGCTAACTATCATGTATTTTGTTTTATCTACATTGACCTGTAATCCAATTTGCTCTGCTTCTTTTACTAGAGTCCGAGCGAGTCTCGCAATATTCTCTTGATTACTTCCGAGGACAGATATATCATCGGCATATGCTAGGTTTTTATGTTTCATTCCAACGTGCACGGTTCCCTTCAGCCTCTGACAGAGTTTGATACTAATCAGAGCATTGCTGCGAATCGCTGATGCTTTATAAAAATTAAACTAACGCGGTTTTCCACCACGAACTCTTACGCCTCACCTCGGGATCTTTTAAGCAAGTGACTAAGAGATTTTTTTTCTAAACCGCCATTTACATCTATGTGCGACATTTGCTTAGTGCTAAAACGTAGTAGATGACAAATTTCAAACCTGACAAACTTCGGTAATTGCTTAAATAAATAATCTTGTTATTAGTATTATGTTATATATTAATTTATTCATTTTTGCATTAATTAATTTATTTATGTTTTGGTTTTGTTCCTAATTATTTATCATTATTTTTCTTGTATGTATATATCTTATGAATCGATGCCTTTATTATTAATACTTAATGCCCTTGGTTGCGTCAGGTCATGTTATTATTCGATAAAAAAATATTTACAAAACATCGTATACTTATATAACATAGAAGGATGAATAAAGAGATTGAGCGATCCTTCCTGAAGGGCCATATCACCATTACACTTTCATAGGAATCGCGGAGGGATAAACCTAATGGCACGAAGCCAAGGGAGGAAGGATTTTGCTATTCATCTTATGTAGAGGGAAGGGCCAGGACAATCATGCCCTATAATCTTGGCAGCCCTACACCTTATAACCCTCTCATAGCCATTTCCTCTTTTATATTTGACGATTAGTAAGGACATAAGTCTATACAAAGGAACAAAATACAAAAAAAATAACGTTTGTCTTTAATTTTCATAAAATTTTCTCTTTAATTTTTTATCCAATTATATAGCTGACATAGCAATTTATATTATGAAATCAAAATAAATATTATTATTATATGGACCATACATCTAGCATTTGTAGATTTATTTTCTTTTTTCATCATATTATTCTCATTTGTTTTCTCATCTCTCTCCTTCTTCTCTCTGTCCGTTTCTTATCTCTTTACCACAAGAACTTTTACGTTTTTCACTATTTTCCCTAATTCATCCCTATATTATTTATACCTAGTAGTGAAATCTTTCATAGCTATTTTCTACTTCACTTATTCATTCTGGACATCCGTTTATGTTCTTCAGATCTATAAATTTATTGAATACTAGTTTGCTCAAAACAGTTCTGCGCATGCGCTAGTATCTTTCAACTGCTACATCGTCTCTCACAATTATCATAATTACCAGTGAATTAGTGAACAGTTGTGTTAAAAATAGTGCTATTGAACAATTATATAGTACTTCCTTGAATAGAACCATAAAAACGGTGAGTAACCGCTTGTTTATTAAGTTTGAACAATGAATACAATTATATAGTACTTCCTTGAATAGAACCATAAAAACAATGAGTAACCGCTTGTTTATTAAGTTTGAACAATAGTGTAAACAACCATAGAATTAGATAGAGTGGCCATTTCTTATCTATAGTCCCCCCCCTTTGGGCCAGGTAGGCCAGGTAAGCCTGTCGAGCTATTAAGTAAGCTAGGTCATATCGCTTGGCCCTCTATCAGTCTGCGTAATTTTTACGTATTATTAAAAATAAAAAATAAAAAAAATTTTTTTTTCTTCTTCTTTTTTTCTTTTTCCCAATAGTCGTTGACATGATATGGGATATTATCATATGATAATGCCTAGCAAGAATAAAAGATCAAGAAGCTTAGGCAATAATAGATCTCGTAATTCACTAGTAAAACAAAAGCCTAGGCGTTCAAACAGAAAAACACCACCATCTACACCTGATAGACCAAATGATGCAGTGAACGACCCTCAAGCCGGTACATCAACAGAAATTATGACCACCGAAACAAACAATGAAATTGAAGAATCACCTTTTTTTACTGTTAACCCTTACCAACTACTATCTAATACCGTAGAAGAAACAATGGAAATACCATCAACCCCCAGAGAGTCAAAAACACCCCCAATATTCATAAGAAACATAAAAAAGTTTTCGGCTATTTTGCCAGCACTTAAATAAATTACTTACCAATGGTAAATACAAATGTCAAAGTCGAACCAATGACACCAAGTTGATGCCAGATTCTCCTCAATCATACAGAAAAATAGTAAAATACTTGACAGATACAAAGCCGGAATTCCATACTTATCAATTATTTCAAGAGAGAGCACTAAGAGTGAAATGAAATGAAATGAAAAAAATGTTTTATTATTCTGGGACTGTTGTCCCTTAAGAACAAAATATGAATACAGATTATATGTCTGTGTGGCTACAATTGAATTGTATATTTACAATGAAAGTTGACTTACGATAAAAATACAGAAAAGAGAAAGAAGAGAACAAGTAAATTGTACATATATATGAGAAACTAAAATAATCTTAATAAATTGAGGTAGTCTCTGGTGGTGCTCAGATATTTCTCTTAGATATATTTCACAATCATTCGGATTGAGAAAGGAGTAGGTGCTTAAAGAGGAGTGGTTTAAACGAGGAAACTGATTGAGCGTGTCGAATATCAGGTGGGATGGAATTCCAGAGGGAGGCGGCTTGTATTGCAAAGGATTTGTCAAACGCAGCAGTTCGGTGAGGAGGAGGATAGAGGTCGGAAGTACGAGATCTGGTGGGACGGGATTGGATGGAATATTTGAATTGTAAGCTGTGAAAAATGTAGGAGGGTCGATGGGTTCTAATAATTTGGTACAGAAAGGTGGCTAGGAAGTACTGACGGCGATAGGATGGGTAGAGCCACCTCAACTCAGTGTAATACTGGGTAATATGCGTATCCCTTGAGATTCCGAAAACA